ATGATTCGTGCTTCCACATATTCACTATGGTTGTGTTAATAATGACAACATCCAAGACCACGTGGGCTTCCCATCCTCTATTTTCAGGACCAGAACATGTGCTTTTTTCCGGGGAAAGAATTGCTAGAATCACTGACATGACTCCGATGGAACAAACAGGATGGAGACCCTGCCTCTTACACCCTTATTTAGCAATCTTTTTGTGGGGTGAAAGGGTCAAGGGCGGCTCGGGAGTGGGGGAGGGACGTGGGGATGAACGAAGCACTGAGGTAGCGTGAAACCTTTAGGCTGCCGATCCTTTCCTTTCCCCCTGTGGAACGTGGGACGCCTCGCGTGTGACACTTGGGACACGCTGGCAGGATTTTGCTAATTTTCTCGCGTAAAGGCAGCCACCACCGGCTGCGGCCGGGGCCGCAGCTCCTCCCTGGCTGCCGCCGCGGGCACCCTGCGGTTGTGCCGCGCCGCGGCCTGCCCGTGCCCTGTGGCGGCGGCGGCGGCGGCGGGGGCGCCGCTAGGGGGCACGGCTGGGTCTCGAACGGCGCCCGCCGCCCGCTCCACCTGCGGCCCGGCCCGGCGCCCTCGCAACGCTGCAGCTCCTCGGCCCCGTCAGGGAAAACCCCCCCACCCCCCCCTCCCTCCTCGCTCCGCCGCTAATGAGGGGAACGGCCGGGGGAGGGGGGCGCAAATCGTCTTAAAAGAGAGGCAGAAGATGACCGCGGGCAGCAGCCACGAGGCGGGTTTTGTTCGGCCGCTCTGGCAGTAAACTCGTGTAATCTGCAGTCATTAGCATAATCTTCAAAGATCTTTAGGGGGATAATCTTTAAAATGCCTGGGGTGCTCGCTTGTGAGGCTCCTAAATAGGATATCGTCGGAGGACCGGCGATGCCCTTTGAGGTGTCTTTCTTGGGATTCGAGGGGTTCCTCTCCGCCTTCTGCTACGGCGGACAAAAATGTGATCTCCGCCTGGATAGGGGTCAGGAGAGCACTGCGCCGCTGAACCTCAGACCTGCTCTCTGGCGGGCTTTCAATTTACGAGGGAGAAAGGCATGTATTTTCCCTCGAAGTTTACTTTTTGTCAAGGGTAATTATCTCACTTGCATTTGAACTCTTCGGGGGACTAGAATGAGTTTCCAAGCATTCGATTCCTCTGCCTTAAATCTATAGCTCTTTTGTGTGAACATCCTGAGCTCTGGAAATGAACAACCCAAGCCGCGGTTTGCAGAAATGTTCATTGCAGTGAAGGGCGTGTTCGGAGAACACAAACAGCACCCACAGATAGTTGCCAAGGGCACCTAATACATCTTTGCATTACGCCTTGAACCAGTGTGCCCATATCTCCGAGTTTTTATTGCACGGATCATAAATGATTGTAAAGTCTGCAAATCTTTCATGAAACACTGGCAATTAATACTTTAGCCAGAGAACCTGTGTTAGAAAACAAGAGTCTCTAATGCAGCCCCTGAAATCGGTTCACAGCCGCGTGCTGCCGGCGTAATCTCACAATTCAGTTATAAGAGGTTTACAGCTTTTCTTTTTCTTTTGAACAATGTACTTTCTCTCTCACTCTGTTTTTCGAGGCAACAAAACGCAGAAACATTAGTACCAGAATTTCAGGTGCTCTCTGATCAGGGGGAGGGGGAACTTGAACACTCGATACCAGAACCTGCAAATTTAGACCGTGTTTCCCATTTATGGTTTCAGGTAACCACATAAAACTATCAGTTTCCTTAAACCGGTTTGGTCCTGATCGTTTCCTGTATTGCGCTTTTAAAGCCAGGAGCACCCCGTGACCCTAAGTGACTGTAGTTCCCGGCAGCCGTTTAGATGGTTTTGAAGGCACGTTGGGGTCCTTTATCAATTATTCGTGATAACAAAGGACGGGCGCTTGGCTGAAGATGGGAAAGTTTTTCAAGGGAAGCTCCTGCGAGGAGAGAAATGCCCAGTTCCCCATAAATGATTTACGAAGGATGGATCAGTAACAAGGAAAAAACAGCCCAGGGGAGGGAGAGAGGGCACGCAAACAGTTGCTTCACCCGCGGGTTAATGATCCCGGAATGAAGCGAGCGGGTTGTCGCGATGGGCGGCCGCCCGTTTCCGACCCCAGCCCCTGCCCCGGCTGCCGCAGGGGCAGCTCCGCCAGCTCCCCTTGTTTTTTCCCCCAATAAAATGCCTGGCGAGGGGTTGACAAACGCTGCTGGGAGCAGATCGGGAAGGGCAGACCCTCGCAGATGTTGCCTGCGGGAGCGTGCCGGGCTGCCCGCCCGGGGCGCGGGTCGCCGGCCCCGCTGGGACGAGGGGGCTGATCCGCGGCCGCACCCGGCGGGCAGCCGCCCAGCAGGTGTCTGCGGCCACAGCCAGAGGCAGCCAAGTGATTAAAGGGGCTTCTCCAAATTGGCACAGAGACTATACTATCTGGGGCTTCCCCCTTGAGGTCAACGCCTGGAAATAATCGTTATCTCCTCTGTAAAAGGCTACGTAGGTTTACTCCCGTCCGTCTCCCAACACTGTTTCCCAGCCCTGCTCCCCGGGGAGAGAGCTTGTGAGCAAAAGGGGCATCTCCTGCCTCTGATGGCCCAGCTGATGATTTCAGGGATCCTGGGCAGAGGGTCCCCGCCACTGCCCTAGTGTCTTGGTGCTCCATCCTCAACAAAGGGGGGAATGATTGGAGTCACCCTGGAGGGAAACGGGAAGGGCTCCCGGCCACAGGCGCCGGGGCAGCTTACGGCTACTGCGGCTCTTTCGGCGGTCGCATGGTTTCATCGTGGAGGTGACATGTGAAAATGCTGCTTCAGAGGTAGCACTGGCGGCGAGGTGACTGTCAAGGGACTCTATGCTGCCCCCCACTCTTACTCAAAAACGTTGTTGATAACTAAAAGAGGCAACCACTTCATAAAAAGCATTTAAGGAGACGCTGAAGTCGAAATGAAAACCACTAGTTACATTAAGGTTAAATCAAACGTGGCCTTATGCGATGAGAAATACGCGCGAATATTCCCTTCACAGGAAAAAAAATCCATTTACTCTTCTGCAAGCTATTTGCTTTCGGCACGAAGCAGTACCTTTCCCGCAGAAAGAATAATAATAACGTTTGTATACGTGAAGGGATTGGAATCAAAATGTCCTGATGCCCCCTCCATCAAAACTACCCGCATCCAGATGCAAGCGTAGAAATACAGTTGCTACACATGACCACATGGCTTTAAGGTGTTAACTTTATTCGAATTAAAACAGCGAAGAAACTCCAACAGATCCTCGTTATTCATCTAAGAAAACTGGTTATTAGCCCTCGGCATATGGTCGAGATTCCTAGAAGAGAGGTAAAAAACAACCCTCCCGTAAGTGACAGTCACTTTTTAAGCCGGCTGTATGTGCCTGCGGATTGCTCCGAGGCGCGCTGGAGCCAGCAGCAGTAACGTTTATTTCATTGTCAGTGCTGCCCTTGCCTGCAGTATTTTATCTGCGGCAGGAGATGGGCAAGAACACCTCAGGAACAAGTCTTCCTCGACCACTTTTATTGGCCTTTTAAAAACCGCGTCTGAAATTACACCGGAGGGCTTTGGATGTATTTACACCTTCCTTGTGGCTATCTGGGCAGTTATTTCCAGTGATTATTAATGTTTCGTAATGGGGGGGAATTGTCAAGGAAAATTCTCCTTGTTCCCTCCAAGGGACAATCGAAAGCCCCTAGAAATGAGATCCGGAGTTTTCACGGGCAAACTCTGGAAATGAGGAATTGACCATCTTAACGAGATCCAACAGCATGGCAAGGTACCACCGGTAAGAAAGTAGAGGAAACCCGCTGATCTCCTCGCTGGGGAAACCAATCAATCACCGGCCGCTTTCACAGACTGGAGGAGGAGAACATTTTTCATATCTTTTTTCCAACCTCCTTCCTGTGTAGAGCCCGTGCAGTCCCTCTCCTGTGAGAGCGTCGTTAAATCACTGCCACGGGTGTGCGGGTACAGGAGTCAGGCGCGTTCACGCGCCCACAGTGAGGCAGTCCCTTCCTACGGGGACTTTTGTCACTCTTACATGGGAACTTCTGCCAAATATCCTCCCTTCACGCCGCTGAGGAGGCCCCCCCGGGTAATATTTGGAATGGCAAGACACTGCCTTGAATTATTTCCCTTCTTCCTGATGCCTCCGTGGGTGTGAGCGGGTGGTATCATAGTCAAGACGTTAATTATTGTTTCGAGACAGTGAATGTTTAATGTTTGAAAACAATGGCAATTATTATTTTATAAACACTTCCTTGTGTCACGACCTTCCCGGCGCTAAGAGGCCGGCGAAGTGTCTCTAGTGCAGGGAACGCCGAGTTTGCAGTGGAACCCCCATATTTGGTCCCATTTCTTTACATAGCTAGGCACCAAACTGAAGAGGGGGGGCTTCTTTTCCCCCGTGACAGTTTCAGTGGAGCAAAGAGAGCGACACCGGGAACACCTGACGTTTGGGCGCCCACAAATCTGTCGCTGCCTGCCAAGCACCGTGGGGCGCTGAGGACCGCGGGTGGGAGGGCGCGGGGACGGCCCTGCGGACGGAGCTTGCCGTTCGCCCGGGCCCTATACGGGGTGCCTGGGCTTGCCTCCCTAGGCAGAGCAGGGCGGCCCGGGGGATATTTTCCCCGCCCTTGGCACAGAGGCGGCGGCAGCCCGGCAGGGTACGGCCGGGGGAGCAGGGCACCGGCCGCTCCCTGTCCCGGCGGCCGGGGGCGCTGCCGCGGAGTCAGCCGGGGGCAGCAGGGCCGAGGACCAAGCCCCGCCGCAGCTCCCGCCAGGCGCTCCCGGCGGGCCGGGCCGGGCCGGGCCGTGCGGGAGTGCCGGGCCCGCCCGCCGGCGGGGCGCGGGCGGCGCAGGGGCAGTGGCTGGCGGCGGCGGCAGCAGCTTTCAGTTTTCATTGAGGCCGCTGGTTACTGTTTAACGTCCCCACCCACGTTTCAGTTTGTTTAGTAAATCGATCTGATGCTGGGGCTGAGGCTGCTGCCCTGTCGCCATTGAGCAAAGTTAATTCCCCCACACACAAACTATCTCTCCTCCTCCTTTCCCGCTTCAGCATATGGTGAGGACGGTGTCACCGCATCAAACAAGTCGCGCAGCCCAGCGCCGGGACGTCCGCGGGGAGCCGGGGGGTGCGGGGGAGGCAGGAGGCCCGGGGGATGCCGCCGCCCTGAGCTGCGACCGCGCCGCCGGAGGCCGAGGGACGGGGCGGCCCCGCCGGTAAGTTCCCGGGGGCCGGCGGCCGCCCGGTGACAGCCCCGCGCCGCCCGCCGCACCGAGGGGCGGACGCGCCCGGCGGGGAGAGCTGGTGGCCGAGCGAACAGCAGCCAGTTCTGGGGGGACATTATTTTATACATTCCTTTTTAATTTTTTTTTTTTTTTTTTAACTCGCCTGGTCACGTGTCCCTGCTGTCGGCGCCCGGGGCGCTGCGGGGAAAAGCACCGCACTGGGCGCAGCCCGAGCCCCGGGGCGGGGTGTGTGTGCGTGTCCGTCTGTGCGTGTCCGTGTGTCGTGTCCATGTGCCGTGTTCGTATCGCGGCCGCCGGGGTCCGGCGCAGCCCAGCGCCGACCCCGCTGCCCCTGCCCCGCCACCAGCCACATGGCTGCCTGGCGCTGTGCTGGCATTTGGGATTCCTCGGTAGCCCAAGTCAACGGCTTTGCGCTGGGTTTAGGAACATCTCTTAAAGGCTTTTTTTGGTTTTGCCTCCCTTACTGATTTCTCCGCCCCCGCCCTCATGGTCACCTGTGCAGCATATGGGTTTGTTATTGCAGGGCTGTGCTAATAGTAGCACTTGGCCGGAGCTGGACATCTTGGTAGAGAAAACCAAAAGTATTTTAAGGAAAAGTAATTTAAAGAGAAAAATTCACACATGAAACAAGCAAAGCAATACAAGGGTAAGTTTTGAAGGCAGGTCTAGCTTTTACAGTGCTGCAGGTGCACTGTTTGCAGCATACTTAAAGGGTACCTTTAATGAAAGCCAACTTTTAGCTGTTGCACCTGTGAGTTGAATGTCTGTTCCTGTACACTGAAATGGGAGATATAGTCAAGCATTTTGGAAAGCAGACGGTAGGTTGCAACGATATCGGTATTTTAAAGTGACTTCGTATTTTCAACAGTGAATCCTATTCCATAATAAACTATGGCTGTATTAAATTGGACCTTCCTTTGTGTAGGCCTTTTCTTGTACAGTGCTGCACATGATATACTGTGATTTCTCATTCCTATTACAAAGATAGTGGAGTAACTTAAAGTAGCATCTTTTTTAATTGGTGCTGAGTTTGTTAAATTGAGTTAGTAAGACGTAATATGCTGCACAACTTTCAAAACCCCTGAGTCTCTAGTGCGAATCCCTTTCTCTGAAAAAAACTATAAAGTGCTATGCCATTTCTCATATTCTGTAAGAAGTTGTTACATCTTATATATGAGACATATTAAACATATATATGCAGATGGTTTTCCCGTATTCTGTTTTAGGAATTTCATTGTTTTCCTGTTTTCTTCTTACAGTCATATGATAAAGGGAAAAGGGACAAAATGTTTAGTGGTAGTTTCAGCCTCTGAATCACTGTGAGAAAAAAAGAATTCTAAAAGTGTTATTTCCGTCATCCAGTATGCTGTGCCCTGTCCCTCTCTCTTACTGAAGGTCACCAGGCTGCCGAAGTCTCACTTTGTATATATGTTTTTAAAAAACCCAACAACCAGGTGTAGGACAGGATCAGGATGCTGTTATTTTGTTCATGGAGTTACCTTTGATTTTAGCAGCTAATACATTTGGACTCATTTCCCAGAATACAAACTTTGTGTTTCCTTAACATAAAGAGTAACTTTCTTTGCAGTTTATCTCATTTAAGCAGAGGAATATCTCTGTTCCAAAATTTTTGTGCTTAGTTGCACTAGTGTAAAACAAGCAACACAGAGGTCCAGTTTAGATTTACGGAATGGCTATTATGCATACTCTTAGGCCGTGTATTGGGAAAAGCTTTGGGTGGCATGGAGCTACCACTTCCTTCTATCCTGCCTCCCCACCATGGAACAATTCATGAGGTACAGTGAGAAAAATGGGTTTCCTTTATCCTGGCTGTAATGGCCAGTTCCTTGGATGGCCAAGTGGTGTTTGCTGCTAATTTGTGAATATAATTAAGTCATCTCTGGACCAATTCCTTAACAGAAGTGTTCTAGTATAAATATATCTTTGCTGCTGCTTTTCCTCAAGATATGGCCTAGTATGATCAAGTAGATCAAGTTTGAATACCTGAAGCAAATCCTGTTTGATTCTGCAGAGTTTGCAAAAAACCTACAGTAGTGCAAGAACAGAACTCAGCCCTTGTGCTTAACATTGCTCCTGTTTCAGACTTTGTGGCAGTATTTATATCATGGGCATATGGACTCAATACTACACAAGGTTGCCCATCTGTTAACCTTTGGCAGAAAAATGGGGTCTGGCATGTCATCAGTATTATCTGCAAGTCTACATCATGTACGTTAATTTCCACTGGCTACAAGAAACAAAACATTAAATAATATTTATTTTTCTTAGCAGGTCATTAATTACAAGAGGCTTCCTGAAAAAAAATCAAAATTAGTAATGTGGTAACCCATGTGACAGGAAAAAAAAATCAACTTTTTCTTTGTCAGGGAGTTGAGTCTATTATAACAAATTCATGACCGATTTAAGACTGCATCGTTGGTATAGGGAGGTTCTGAGCTGAGCATACTGTGCTTTTGCATCTGTGAAGCAGCAGGGGCAACGTGCTCCATATATTAGTTGACAAATGGACTCTTTCAATATGGGGGTCTCTTTGCCTCACTTTTCAGTGATTTCAAAGACCCTTTTCTTGCTTTTGAGCTTTGAAATATTCTCTGATTTATTTGGTTTGGGAGTTTTTTTTCATTTAATGAAGGTGTGTAACTCTTCAGAAGTCTTCAATTTCTGTGTTTAAAATTTAATATTAAGCCTGAAAATTAGTTTGATTTGCCTGTATTGTGTCAGGTAGATAGGAGGTATGTCAGATTAGATTATTCTGGTAAAGTAGATTGGTAACATAGTCTGATTTAGAATATAAATAAAGGTTTTATTTCTGTAGTAAATAGTTACCTGTTGTATGTGTTAATATATTCTGTAATAAAATTTAATTTCTCAATGAAAGTATTGCAACATAAAAGAATGTTAAGTTGAGGGAAGGCAAGGCTCTTAGGTTTTAATGGATCTTAATGAATGATGCATTATATATCCTGATGAGAAAATATGGAAAATGCTTTTCAACAGATTAAGATGTTTGAATGTCTTGCAACAGCTTTGATTGAATCAAGTATTTTTCATTTCAAATTCTCAATTTTAAAACAGCACACTCTAAAAATCAGGTCAGAATGCTGTGTGTAATGTCAGAACTGAGATCTGTCAAACTGAAAGGCTCCAACAACATTTTCAAACCTTTCTCAATTGTCAATTTAAGTTAATTGAAAATGAAAGGTCTCGCTTTCAGGATTGGGCCATTTAAATAGAAGCCTGCTGCTTTCATTTTGTAGAAGGGCAATCTCCCTCCACATACGTGTTTTTAAAAGGTTCATTCATAATTCTCTCTTCACACTTCTATTGGAAATGACAGAATTCATTATTTTGAGTTCTTGAACTATTTTTCTGCAACTTGGGTGATGAATTGTATGAGATCTAGTTCATAACGTGGCACGGCAACCCACAAGATTTAAAATTCTCAAGGCTCGATTTGTCTCTCTCTGGCACTCGGCTGGCCCAGGCAAGGGAAGCTTCCGTGTGCATCTTCTGCTTCTTATGGAGCAGGAGATTGGGATTTTTTTTATTTAATACTGATCAAGAAAAAAAACTCTCACCCTTGCTTGGTAATTCACTCGAGGTATCCAGGCAACAAGGACATACATTACAGTCAGCAGTATACAAGGTGCTGTGAGAATTTTCCTTGCCTGCTGTTTATCTGGGAATACAACTGCAATAGACCTATACAAACAGCGCTGTTTCCACTGTCTATTCCTAGCATGTAGTTAACCTGTAGACTTCTGGTTTTTTACTTATATTCAGCTCTCTGATGGAAAAGGATTTCTTGATGTGTGTCTATTTATGCCCAAATACAGGAATTCGGCTCAGGTGGGAGAGCGGAACAGAGCCTCCATGAAATGACAAATACGACTCAGCTTGCAATTGATGGTGCATCTGTGGCCATGCTACAATGAGAATCCCCTTTTTGAGAGTCATTTTTGTATGAGGTTGCTAGGCTACACCAGCCTGGGTTGTACTTGGCTGAGACAGTAGCGATGTTCACCAGCTACTTGCTAACCAAAAATAGGCCTCTGGCAGAAAGTTATGTTGACTGAATTTCCCCTTTCCTTTGTTAAATAAAACATTTTTTCATTAACTGCCGACATGTATCAGCGCTGGGCACTGAGTGGGACCAGTTCATACTCTCAGAGCTGGTCTAGATGTTTGAGGATTTTTCACTGTAGTGAGCATTTTAGCTCATGTATCTCCTGTGCCTCCCATAACACACTTCTTTCTTTTTGTCTTTCTTTTGTTCTTTCATTCTTTTGTTCTTTCGTTCTTTTTCTTTCTTGCTCTCTGTTTCTTTCTTTCTTCCTTCTTTCCTTCTTTCTTTCATAGATGGCTATGATAATAAAGATGATTCTTATTGCGACCACCTGTTTCAGAATCACAGTCCAAAGTGTCTTGCAGACAGTGTCTTATGCCCTACAGGATAATAATGTTCATTCCTTTTGCAAGGAAATGCCAGACTGACATTACCTTAGCTGACAAAATTGCCTCAGTAAAGGTCTAGACACTACTCAGAGAAGTGAAATGGGTGACCATGCTGTGATTGCATCTTAATACACACTCCTGGGTCCTTTCTCAGCCCCTAACAGGTGTAGGCAGGTGTTAGCTGCTTTAGTTTCAAGGATAAGATTGTGATTTTGGAAATTGGTAGGATTTTTTTCACCAATTTGCTAAATATTTCACCTGGTTATTACTGCTTACTCCCAGATACTAAACAAGTTGAAAAGTCTTTTCTGCTGGACTGTTTGGTAGCAATGGTGACCTTATTAGGTGGGATAGAGATCCCATTCGTTGGCTGCATGTGGAGTTTCGTATGGTTTCTGGGCAGTTACCCTTTGATTCATATTT